GGTCGTCTTGACTATGATCTGACGATGAGTGACAAGTTTGACCGGGTCTTTAAGGCTGAGGTGATTATGGTGAATGAGCTGCAGCTGGAACCCTGACTCCCGCACACCAGACTTCACTCCTGCAATCAAAACAGACAGAGGGGAGGGAGAGAGCAGAGAGAGAGCTACCTAGCAGCAGTAGGCCTAACACGCAATGGAGAAAGCAAAGCTAAAGGAGCGGATTGGCCTAGCAATGCTTGGAAAATTGAAGAAACTGTGGGAGGGGAAAACAGGACAGAAGGAAAGGACCCGTTTATACCCACCCCTACCAACAGCGCCACCACCATATGACGACCACCCAAAAACAATGGCTCCGGTTCTGGATATAGCGGGAAAAGTCCACTATCAACAAAGGACAGATGAGGAGGAAGAAGGAATGTGGGTCAGAAAGAGTGATATGACTGACAGAAGGGGAGAAGTGGATGTACTTCTAAAAGCTGCAAAAGCGCTAGAAAAATTAGTGTTTGAACTGAGTAGAATTGAGGGAGAGACGGGGAGCAGATGCGGAACAGAAGGAGGAGGGAGTGTTGACGGTGACGGTGAGAGTGAGAAGGAAGAGAGAATGAGCCTAACTGGAGGAAACGTAAGGGGTGGTCTAGCCCAGGGGGAGTGGCAACGAAACAAGGATGCTGAAGAAGGGGAAAGGAGGGAGAGACTTGAGAGACAGAGAGATGAAGAACGACTGGAAAAGTTGAAGATGATAAAAGAGGAAGTACGACACCAGGAAGCACAATTGCACAAGTTAAAGATGGAGCTCAAAGCGAACAAAAACAGAAGTGAAAGTGAACGCTCACCAGTAAGGGGACACTGTATTGACCTCAGAGACGGGGAAGAGAGTGAGGAGGAAAGAGGGAAACAACAAAAACTCATATGTGGAGCTTTTGATGGAGACACATGGGACAACAATGATGGACCACACCCGAGCCAGGGCCCAGTCCAGAGAAGGACACAAAGGGGGGCAGTACCCGTTGAGGGAGACCCCAGGGGGGGCCTCAGTTTACAAGCCATGGGCCCACAGAGACATACAGACCCTGGTGGACAGTCTCCACCAACCTGAAGAATCTGGACACAGATGGGTGAAGTCTTTTGAGAGTCTCACCGCAGCGGATGAACTCACCATAGGTGATATGGTTACTGTAATGAACAGGTGTATGGGTGACCAGGAATGCAAAGAGATAATGACCTCTGGGGGACTGAGAGGGCAAGTGGGGTCGGCTACAAGATTTGACCCCCACCGCAGTGACGTATGGGATGTCATAAGGAGGAAGTATCCTACCCAGGCCAGACCCGAACTGATGAGAACTCTGACATTGAATGACAATGAAACCATACCAGCATACATGAAGAGGGCTAAGTGCCTCTGGAGGCAAGCGTGGAATGAAGAACCAGGAAAAGACACCATGAAGCACCTCTTCCTGACAAACTGCCTGGGGGGACTCCCGGATCAGGCTCGAGCTGAATGTGAAAAAGTTGTGGCAATCACCGCAAAATCGATTCCGGAATTTACCGAGATAGCACAACACCATGTGGAACGATGGAGAGAGGGTAAGCGAAAGGAAGAGGATGAACTCAAACAACTTCAGAAGAAGGTTCTGAAGAAGCAACTGACAGAGGACAAGCCAGGAAAACAAATGGTGGTAACCAGTACCCCAACATCTAATCCTACCACTCCTGCACCCGGAAATGATACTACTGCTGCAGTCACTGCTGTAATACAGGCAATGACGGGAATGTTGGCACCTTCTGGTCCTCCTGGATATGGTGCACCCGCATACCAGCAACCCTATGTACCAACACGACAACAGGGATACACCCCTAGATATGCTGACCAAGGGTGTTCTAACTGTGGGATGAATGGCCATCTGGCAAGACACTGTTATCTCCCAAGACAGGGACAACAAAGAGGGAGGGGTTACATGGGACAGCCCAGAAGACAAGCACTGAGATACCAGCAAGGATGGGGAAGCTGGCAAGGAGGAGGAATGCCAGTCCAGCAGCACCAACCACCACAACAGCAGAACCGAAAACAAGACTCAGCAGTGCCTAACGCTGCCCTCCTGCCCAGCATGTCATGGCTGGGTGACGAACACAATTACCAATGAAGCTGCCCAGAAACCCATAAGGATCCCACCACCAACATTTACACTTTCCCACCAGGTTCAGAGCCGGTAGTGACATGTTTGATTGGAGGAAGACAACATAATATGCTGATTGATACAGGATGTACATGGTCTTCTGTACAAGCAACATATCAACTCACTACCAAAACACAAGCTTTCTCTGGGGTTTCTGGGGCTATTATGAGAAAGCCATACACAGTTCCATTGGAGGTTGTATGGGATGACCTACAGGTTACCCATCAGTTTCTATACAACCCGGAATGCTCGGTGGGGCTCATGGGGAGGGACCTGCTTTCCAAACTGGGATGTAGTATCTTTTGTAACGCATCCATCACGCCCATTGATGATCTCATGCCAGTAATCATGGAAGAACTCTCCGACCCCCCTCGCATGCTATATGTGGGAACACACCTAAACGAGGAAGATGAGGAGGAAGCATATGTTTACTGGCTGAATCTCATGGATACTGACCCTGATGCTCCCCGAGTATGCAGAGAGTTCCAACTATGGAAGGCCTGGATACAGACCTTAAATGCATAATATCCACCTGAGGACCCTCCGCACATGACAATGAACTATACAAGGGACTTGGATGAAGCATATGATGAAGCCTGGGAGGAGGAAATGGACGATAGGCGCCCGATTGTGACCAGCAATCATATGTACATACTCAAAGAAGGGGTGGCTACCAGCTGCATGGTCATGGATGGAGACATGGTGCTCACAGACAAATGGTTTGCTCTTCCTAGTGATTCTGAGCCGCATGTTACCCTTCTCGTGGGATTTGAATACGAGGCAAGATCTCTGGGACCTGCAGTAAAGGCAGCAAGTTGCCTACGGTGGAACAAAACCTCTTGTTATAACGTGGAAAGCGCATTCCTTGAGAGAAATCAAGTATGGAGAATTAAACTCAATGTGGATGATGTGTCAAAACCAGAGGTTGTGAGGAGATCACGTTGCCATGGCAGGGAGATGACTGATCATCCGGATACTCCTAACATTTTCAATCAACTACCAGAGGAACTGTGGACAACAAGTGCTGAAGATGTGGGGCTGGTTGATGTAGAACCAGTGGTTGTCTCCATTCGAAAGGAAAGTGAACTCACTGTCCCAGTTCACAAATCTCAATACCCTCTCAGTGAAGAGAAGACGAGGGGAATTGAGCCTACGATATCAGGACTCCAAAAAGGACAGGTTATATATCCAACCTGTTCTGCGTGGAATACACCCATCCTTCCAGTGAAGAAAGGTGACACTGGGAAATGGAGGATGGTGCAGGACTTCAGACCAATCAACGAAGTAACTGTACCAGATGTTCGACCTGTACTAGACCCATATCTGGCCTTACAGAACATTTCACCCACCCAAGATTGGTTTACAGTTGTGGATCTCGCCAATGCATTTTTCTGCATCCCATTACATCCAGAGTCCCAGCCACTTTTTGCATTTACCTACAGAGGGCAGCAATTTACGTATTCCCGTCTTCCACGAGGCTACCGTGATTCCCCGGGAATCTTCAACGCTATCCTGAAGAGCCACTTGGAAGAACTAACATTACCTGAGGGGGTGACGCTACTCCAATACATTGATGATCTTCTGTTGGCAGCACCCACTGCTGAGTCTTGTTTGCAGGCCACCAAGTCCCTTCTCCGGTTGGTAGCCAAAAAGGGATACAAGGTAAAGAAAGAGAAAGTGCAGTGCTGTCAGAGAAGTGTCCAGTTCCTAGGAAGAGTGCTGTCAGGGAAGGGACAAGCTGTGTCTGTGGCCCAGAGGACCTCCATCTTGGAACATCCCAAACCCACTACTGTACAACACCTTTTGTCATTTCTTGGCCTTACTGGATACAGCAGAACACACGTGCCAGAATACTGTCTTAAAGTGGAACCACTGCGGGCAATCTTGAGAGAAGCAGGAAACAGAAACCTCACAGCAGTCCTTAAGTGGACTCCAGAGGCAGAGGCAGCTTTAATCCAACTCAAACAGACGCTGGCACAGGCTGAAGCACTGTCCTTACCCGATTACACCACGCCATTCTGTTTGGATGTTTCTGAGCAGGATGGTTATGTACATTCCATCCTGTATCAGAAACAAAAGGGGGAGAGAAGAGTGTTACACTACTACAGCGCGAAACTGGACAACATTGAAACAGGACAAACTGACTGTGCCAGACACATGGCTGCCATTGCAAAAGCTATAGGTAAAATAGCCCACATTGTGATGAGACATCCACTTGAAATCAATACAGATCATGGGATGACCGCTTTTATAGGCTCCAAACTTTTCACACTGTCCAGTAAAAGAGAATTCAGCATAACAAAGGCCATCACTGCAAAGCACATTACATATGTGACAACAGCAACCAATATGACCGATGGTTTGGGTCTTGGAGAACCACATGTCTGTGAGGATAGAGCAGCCAAACAGATCAAAGTCCGAATGGACCTGCAAAACTCACCCTTGGAGGGGAACAAAATCACCCTGTTCACTGATGGATGCTGCTACAGGTCAAAGGACCCAAAGGAAGGAAACACTGCTGCCTATGCAGTGGTGAAACAAGACACAGAAGGAGGACATGAAGTAATGGAAGCAGAGAAACTTGGTCCCAATGAAGCTTCAGCACAGCTAGCTGAACTTAGGGCGTTGAGGAGAGCTCTACAACTAAGTGTAGGAAAGAATGTGGACATCTACACAGACTCTGCCTATGCACATGGGATTGCACACATTGATGGACCACAGTGGATGAGGAGAGGATTTGTGACCAGCTCAAATGAGCCCATCAAACACAAGGTTGAAGTACAGAAGTTAATTGATGCAATCCAGCTTCCCAAACGAGTGGCAATAATGAAGTGCAAAGGTCACAGCAGAGAAAGCACCGGAGTGCGTGAAGGAAATGATCGGGCTGATCAAGCAGCAAAAGATGCAGGAGGATACAATGCCCAGCAGATGGTGCAACGAGCCACTCAAGGACAGGAGGAGTTGACGACAGACACAGTAAGACAGTTGCAAGAAGCAGCAGGCGCCTACCAACAGAACGTATGGAGCAGACAGGGAGCAAGGCAAGACAATCATGGGATTTGGAGATCTCACACAGGAAAAACAGTGGGACCTGCAAAACTCCTCAGATCAATCTGAAGGGAAGAGCATGAGAAGGCTCATGGAGGATGGAAAAGTTTCGCAAAATCAGTTGAGAAAGCATGGTGGCATCCACCCATGTTGGACATGGCAAGAGAGACATCAGAGAGCTGTGAAGTGTGCAAACAATACAACAACAAAGTGTCACTTGGAGCAGTGATAGGCAGCTTCCCAATACCTGACGCGCCATTTCAAGACATTTGCATAGATTTCACGGACATGGGACAGGACAACATAGTGGAAGGAAAAAGATACCTGTTGGTAATGGTTGACAGATTCACCAGATGGGTGGAAGCCATCCCCACAGCAAGAGAAGACGCAAAGGCCGTGATTAAGTGGTTGAGGAGGGACCTCATCCCAAGGTTCGGGGTCCCGCGAATGGTCCGTTCCAACAACGGTGCCCATTTCAAGAATAAACACCTGAGGGAGGTAGAGCAGGCCCTAGGAATCACCCACAAGTTCGGGTCAGTATACCACCCCCAATCGCAGGGACTCGTAGAAAGAGCTAACCAATCGTTGAAACGAAAAATGGCCAAAATCATGGCCGGAACTAAACTGAAGTGGGTAGATGCGCTGCCCCTAGCTCTAATGTCAATGAGAAACTCACCTGGGTCTGACACCCATTTAACGCCCCATGAGCTTATGACAGGACGCAGAATGCCAGGGCCACCAGCAGACAATCTTAGTATGCCTAGGCTAGATATTGCAAAAATCAGACACACAGACTACATGCAGGCGCTAATTTCTCTTCTTGAAAGATTGTCTAAACAGGTGGTGGAAGTGCGCACTCCTGCTGTTGAAACCACGGACGAGAACAGAGACATCCTGGTGGGAGATTGGGTGAGAGTGAAGGTGCATTCCAGGAAGTGGACGGAGCAAAGGTGGGAAGGGCCCTTCCAGGTAAAAGAGGTATCAAGCCACTCGTTGCGGGTGAACACGAGCAAGAAGGACGTGTGGTACCACAGAACACATTGTGCCAAAGATATAGTTCCAGGAAGAACTCTAGATCAAGTACAACAGGACTTGGCTGCAGAAGGGGAGGATGTTATGGTTAGTAGTGGGGCTGGCCCTATGGGGAACAGTGACTTCCAGTCAGTATCATAATATAGTCATTACCTTACAGGAAGGGGAAACTCAATTGATGTCCCTACAACCATGTAAGATCTGGTCATGGAGGAATAGGGCTAGTGGAATTGGGGACACTGGTTGCAATTGGAAACAGAAGGAAAACTGTAACAAAATGTATCCCCATGTGTTAAAGAGAGGTACTTATCTGTGTGAGGGAAAGTGGTGTCCATATTGGGACTATATGATCACAAATGTTGGCACCTTCTGGGAATGGCGTAGAGGCTATCCATATGTATTAGGAGATGCTTCTAAAGCAGCTAGGTTTTCAATGATAAGGGGTGTGCAGGGGTCAAAAGGGGGTGCATGTAAAGGCGATGAAATCCTACTAACCATCCAAGACATTAAACTTACAGACGCAGGTGTGTACACCTTAGCAGCAGTACGATCCGGACCAGACACCATGGGTATGTTCACCATCGCGGTCACACCCAAACCTGCAGCTGGGGAGAGACAGACCCAGTTGAACCACATCACCACTCCAGGACCAGCTCAGCTTCAACCCACTAAGGTACCAAACCCCGTTCAGGTGATTAATGTTAGGGATATAACGGACAGCGACCAATTGGGGACAGAAACTGGCTATGAAGGGAAATAAAATATGTGGTTGGCATACATGAGGTATACGGCTAGGACACTGGTCAGGCAGAATTGTGTTACCTGTGGGCATGCAAGACCTGGGTTGGCAACCCACCCATTTGCCTTAGGAGAAGGGGAAGGATGGCAGTGCATATTGGAAGAGTTTTACCATTCACTGCCAAACACCACCCTGTGCAAAGCCCTAAGTTTGATTTTCCCTGAGGTTCCCCCACAAAAGGCACCTGCAGGAGTTCAGGCTTATGGAGGTAATTACAGTTGCATTACTGGAACAGATAAGGGTGTTAACTATGGTAGGCTACCACCAGGGGACTGTGCTGTGAATGTAACTATGAACAGCACTTGGCCAGTAGAGGGTAAAACCCAGACAAAGGGGGTGGCTGATGTGTGGTGGATCTGTGGACCAAATAGAAAACTAACCCCGATTCTAAAGGGGGACTGGCAGGGCACGTGTGCATTTGCCAGTTTGATTGTACCTCTGACCATTATTGATGTTTCCTCCTACCAACTTTTGGGGATCGCCCAGCTAGCCCCAGACAGAGAGAGAATGAGGCGGGGGAGACGTAGTGCCCCATGGTCAGCAGGAGAGGAGATCCACTCTAACCTGTTGGGGGTGCCTGTGGGAGTACCATTACAGTTCCAGGCACTCAACAGGAATGATGGGTTGTGGCATTTGTTGCCAATCATAGGTCCTGCCATAGATGCTGCTAAACAGCGATCTTGGATAAATTACATCTATTATAACCAACAGCGATTTGTTAACTACACACGCACTGCCCTGACTGGAATGTCCGAACAACTAGAGGCCACCTCTAGGGTGGCTAGGCAAAATAGACTAGCACTTGATATGATGCTTGCTAACCAGGGGGGTGTGTGTAAGATGTTTGGGGAACAATGCTGTACGTTTATTCCTAACAATACTAGCCCTGATGGGAGCATCACAAAGGCCCTTGTTGGCCTGGATAAGTTGTCAGCAGAAATGAGGAGCATAGCTGGAGTGGGGAGTGGTGGGCTGTTATCCTGGTTGAGTGACTGGTTCGGTAAGTATTCTTCTATGGTGGTTACTGGATTTCTGACCCTAGTGATTGTGTTTTTGCTGTTAATGTGTTGTGCTGCTTGCATCATCCCCTGTCTCAGGAAGTCAGTGGTAGGAGTGGTGCAGGCGTCAGGTATGATGCCGTTGTTACCGGCCCAGGATGATGCGGATGACTCTGCTACTGACTCTGAGACCAAGCTGGATGATCCATGGTTTGCCAAAAAAAAAAAAAAAAAAAAAAAAAACGCTTTTATTTTCTGTTCTTGCTCATTTTTTACCTTATGTTTTTACTAACCACTGTGATTGTTTATTCCTCCTGATGTGAAGGTAAAGGATTCCTGGGTGGCTGGTAGCCAACTCAGTACATGTTAGGTGTAGGGGAGACATAGAGGGTTAAAATTATTATTTTTCTTTTATTAACATTTTTTGATGTGATTTAATTTCCATATCCTGTTATACTCAGGGTTGTTTATATTCTGTTCAAACTGTTATTTGGAGTGACACCATAAATGGTGTCAACAGAGGGAATCCTAAATTTTCCCTTTCACATTTTTTGAATCACACCCTAGAGGGTGTCAAAAGGGAGTCAAAATGTACTTCCCCGTTTGTGTTTTATGTTTTAATATTCTTGTGTTTTGTGTTCTATTAATCCTGTGTTTTATGACTTATTATTCAAGTTAACCATTTTGTTTGTATTGTATTTTAATGAATGACACCCTGTGTTTTTCTTATTTTGGGTTCACACCCAGTGGGTGTGAAAAGGGGGATTGTGGGGATTTATTATTCTCATAAATGGATGGGATGACTAGCTTGGAAGGAATGCATTAATGATTAAGGCATGGAGGGTCTGTACTGTGCTGATGTGGGTTGTTTCACCTGGCATGCTGTGATTGATGTGAGGAGCTGTTTTAGGGAGTAGGGGAAGATAATAATTTATGTCTCCAAATACTAGACTACACTGCTTCTTTGTGATCTGTGAACCGTCCTTGGACGTAGGAATGGTGTCTAGGGGAGCTGGCTCTTCTTACCATGACAGGTTGTTATGATAAGAACTTATGCCTGGCAACAGTGTGCAACGGTGGAGCGCCAAGAGGCTGGGACCAGCCGGTGCGCCAACGGATTGGCTGAGTAAGTCTAAACCACGCTCAGTCTCTACTCTGATAGGCCCAGCAGGGAGCGGGAACTATGTCTGTCAGAGTATTTTAAGGAGAACTCATAACAATGGATTAGTTCTCTGAATGCCCTGTGAGGTATTTCAGTGGACCCGTATATACGAACATCATATTTACCATTGAAGGTTTTGCATTAATTAAAATACTAGTATATCTTAGAAGTCGTGTTGACCTCTTTTGTCCCAAATACCAGATTTGAATTGACGCAACATGACACTATCTAGGCCAAATTGTATCTCCACTAATGTTTGAGAGGAGGATGCTGTCTGCAATGGAAAAAAGGTTGACACTGTGCAACAGTCCACTACCCTTATGCAAATACATCCCAAAATACTCCAAAATCCACCATAACCCAAGTCTTGTCTTAAAGTTCAGGCATAGTCTAGACAGCTCAGTGATGCTCGGTTAGACCCAGAGTGCATAAGAAATGTTATCTAATTCAGAGTCATATTTTCTAGATTATTAAAAATGTTATTATAATACTTGTGATGAAATTTAAATCCTCCCTAAGCCATTGCAGGATTGGAGTCCTGTGGTCGTTCGCATTGCAGAGAGGAGAGTTAGTATATAGACTGTAGATTCATATTGCTTTGTTTGAACTAGTAAGGGTGCTCTAGCCTAGTACCATGTTCAGACCCATTTTGCCATAAGGTGAAAATATTTTAACAATTCGAGAGCTTGGGACTATAAGGTTATATCTGCAAAAAGTTGATTCAGAGATAATTGGCTTTAAAGTTCCGATCCCTCATTGGTTTGAATGGTGTCAGCAATTTTTATATTGTATTATTTTGAACTTAACAACATGAATTGGGATATTTAGAGTACTCTATAGGTAGAGAACATTGAACAGAACAAGGCTATGTCAATAACTCGATTTTGACAAAAATGAAGATAGAACTTTATAGTCCCAAGCTCTCGAATTACCAAAATACACACCGCATTCATGGATATCTAAACTAGTAACTTCCCTGATACATGTGTAAATATTGTACTATAAAGAGTGCCTTCCTGTATAATACTTATGCTAAAATGTTTATTTTCTTCTACTGAGCCATTTACGCTATGTTCATATTCTTATATTTTATTATTTCTTATTGTTGTTGCATTGTCGAGAAGGAACCTGCAAGTAAGCATTTTGTTGGATGTGTATACCATGTGTATCCTGTACATATGACTAATAATTCAACTTTTGTAGGTTTTGTCAAGTCAAGGACAAGCAAGCAGACCACAAACAATTAGAAACTCTAAACCGGACGCACAAACATCCCACCTCTACACAGGTATTTCAGGGCCTTGATAAAGAAAGAGCTTCTCGCAAGGCACTGACAAAAACCACTCTCCTCTCTATTCAAGGTCTATTTTAAAAGCCTCCTACTCCTTAGCAGCAACAGCAGAAGAGATGTTGGACACATCAGCGTGGTAGTAAGCCGAGGGCGAAGTCAAACATCACACACTACACAACGGGCCGGAGACAGCTCCATTTGCCACAGTTTCGCCTGCTGGTACCTCAGCTTCGACAGGGGTGCTGACTCACAGCTGATATGAATGAGGTGGACAGCGCCCCCACAATACAGTGATTCTTCGCTAACGGCCATGGATTGAACCTGTGACTCATGCCAGCGCTCCATTAAAGAAAGCACAGTGGGGGTGGCCGGCCATGCCCGTGGGATGTGCTCCGGGTTTAGAGTCTCAGAACAGGCAGGCGAGGCTGATTTCTGAATGACAACACGATTTACAAGTGAATGTAACTTTATATCGGTGATTCACATAGCGGATGTGATTCACTTATAAGATGTGGTATTTATTTTAATACGTTTTCTATTCATACTGTAATGACATTTAGTATGAAAAGAAGTCTCCAACACTGTTGTCATCTGTACAGGGTACAAGCCTTTTGCCTATCCAAGGAGGTCAGTCAAAATGTATTCTTCTTCCCATGAAGTTCAAATCAGGACATTACATGGACATGGCCAAGGTAAACATGTCAGACCAGCAACACAGAGCGTGCTCAGTACGTACTAAGGCGCAGTGTAAACACACCATTATCAATATGGCTGGTATGTATCTGCAGGGTTGGGGAGTAACTGATTACATGCAAAAATATATATATAAAAAATAAAAGTAACTGTAATCAGTTACATAACCTGCAAAAAACATTGTAATCTGGTTACAGATACTTTTGAAAAACTAGATGATTACTTTTTGGATTATTTTTAAATTCAGAAAGGCTATTCGCGGGGGAAAAAATACATGATTAAACCTTCCTGTTTTCTCAATGACATTCAATTCAGCAAGTTTAAGTTTGTTGTTCTACCACTATGATGACACCAAACGTGTTTGATGGATCCTTTTCGTCTTTTTGTCAAATCCAAAAGTAACTGAAAGTAGTCAGATTACGTTACTGACCTTGGGTAATCCCAAAATTACATTACTGATTAAAATTTTCGACAGGTAACTAGTAACTGTAACTGATTACATTTAGAAAGTAACCTACCCAACCCTGTAATCTGACACCCTACGTACAGTAGTGGTCAAAAGTTTTGAGAATGACAAGTTGCTCTCTGAGGATGTGTTGGTACCATTTTTATTCATGGCTGTGTTCTTAGGCAAAATTGTGAGTGAGCCCACTCCCTTGGCTGAGAAGCAACCCCACACATGAATGGTCTCAGGATGCTTTATTGTTGGCATGACACAGGACTGATGGTAGCGCTCACCTCGTCTTCTCTGGACAAGGTGTTTTCCGGATGCCCCAAACAATCGGAAAGGGGATTCTTCAGAGAAAATGACTTTACCCCAGTCCTCAGCAGTCCAATCCCTGTACCTTCTGCAGAATATCAGTCTGTCCCTGATGTTTTTCCTGGAGAGAAGTGGCTTCTTTGCTGTCCTTCTTGACACCAGGCCATCCTCCAAAAGTCTTTGCCTCACTGTGCGTGCAGATGCACTCATACCTGCCTGCTGCCATTCCTGAGCAAGCTCTGCACTGGTGGTGCCCCGATCCCGCAGCTGAATCAACTTTAGGAGACGGTCCTGGCGCTTGCTGGACTTTCTTGGGCGCCCTGACGCCTTCTTCACAACAATTGAACCTCTCTCCTTGAAGTTCTTGATGATCCGATAAATGGTTGATTTAGGTGCAATCTTACTAGCAGCAATATCCTTGCCTGTGAAGCCCTTTTTGTGCAAAGCAATGATGACGGCACGTGTTTCCTTGCAGGTAACCATGGTTAACAGAGGAAGAACAATGATTTCAAGCACCACCCTCCTTTTAAAGCTTCCAGTCTGTTATTCTAACTCAATCAGCATGACAGAGTGATCTCCAGCCTTGTCCTCATCAACACTCTCACCTGTGTTAACGAGAGAATCACTGACATGATGGCAGCTAGTCCTTTTGTGGCAGGGCTGAAATGCAGTGGAAATGTTTTTTGGTGATTAAGTTCATTTTCATTGCAAAGAGGGACTTTGCAATTAATTGCAATTCATCTGATCACTCAACATGACATTCTGGAGTATATGCAAATTGCCATCATCAAAACTGAGGCAGCAGACTTTGTGAAAATTAGTATTTGTGTCATTCTCAAAACTTTTGACCACGACTGTATAGTCTCACTAATAAACTCCCCAGCAGGAAACAGCAGCAGCGTTCTCCAGTGTTTGCAGAGCAAGAGACAGGTATTATTAGAGAGGCGCCACATCTTCACCTCACTTCACACTCTCCTCACTGTCACTGTACCTCCATTTTGTGTCCCACCACTCTCGTTACTGTCACTGTACCTCCATTTTGTGTCCCACCACTCTCTCTCACTCTGTTTACACACATCCCTCTATCTATCAGGCCTTCACTCATATGTGCCTGCATACTTTAGGGAACGCCACAGTCACACACACATGCACAAACACACACACACACTCACACACATTTGTTGTATTATCATTGTGGGGACCAAACAATTGATTCCCATTCAAAATCCTATTTTCCCTAACCTTAACCCTAAACCTAACCCCTAACCCTAATTCTAGCCCTTTGTCACGATCATTGAGTACAGGATTGGACCAAGGTGCTGCGTGGAATGCATACATGTTTATTTTTTAAAGTAAACACGCGACAAAACAACAAAAGCAACGTAACGTGAAGCTCACAATGGCCATACACGCGCGCACGCGCACACACACACACACACACACACACACACACACACACACACACACACACACACACACACACACACACACACACACACACACACACACACACACACACACACACACACACACACACACACACACACACACACACACACACACACACACACACACACACACACACACACACACACACACACACACACACACACACACACACACGTCAAGATCCCACAACTAAGGCAGGCAACCAGGCTACTTAAGTATGATCCCCAATCAGAGACAACGAGCGACAGCTGCCTCTGATTGGGAATCACACCCGGCCAAACATAGAAAGATCAACCTAGATCTACAACATAGAAATACACTAACATAGATCTCAACAGAAAACTCACACCCTGACCCAACCAACAAGAGTTCTCTCGTCTCTCGATCAGGGCTTGACAGTACCCCCCCCCCCCCCCCAAAGGTGCGTACTCCGGCCGCACCAACCTGACTCATTAGGGGAGGGTCCGGGTGGGCATTCAGCCTCGGAGGCGGATCCGGCTCCGGTCGTGACGACCTCTCCCTCTCTGCCTCCCCGTTGCGCCCCTGGTCTGGTCTGGACCTCGGCGCGATGATTCCCCTCTCCTTCCTCCCACGATGCACCAATCCCTATCTGGACCCTGGTGTGGGAGACCCCGAACCTGGAGAGGGGCTGATGTCTGGGCCTGGATCGTCAATCCTCCCACGATGCACCAAGCCCTGTCTGGACCCAGGTGTGGGAGACCACGACCCTGGAGAGGGGCTGACGTCTGGGCCTGGAGTAGAGCCGCTACCCGGAGCTGAACTGGACCCCGGTGGAGCGGACTGCTCTGGCTCCGGAGTGGAGCCGCTGACCGGAGCTGAACTGGACCCCGGTGGAGCGGACTACCCTGGCTCCGGAGTGGAGCCGCTGACCGGAGCTGAACTGGACCCCGGTGGAGCGGACTACCCTGGCTCCGGAGTGGCGCCGCTGACCGGAGCTGAAATGGACCCCGGTGGAGCGGACTGCTCTGGCTCCGGAGTGAAGCCGCTGACCTGAGCTGGACTGGGCACCGGTGGAGTGGACTGCTCTGGCTCCGGAGTGGATCCGCTGACCGGAGCTGAACTGGACCCCGGTGGAGCGAACTGCTCTGGCACTGGACTGGAGCAGCTGACCGGGGATGGACTAGGCACCGGTAGAGCAGATTGCTCTGGCACTGGAATGGAGCCGCTGACTGGAGCTGAACTAGGCATCGGTGGAGCGGACTGCTCTGGCTCCGGAGTGGAGCCGCTGACTGGAGCTGGACTGGGAACACGCACCACTGGTTTGGTGCGAGGAGCAGGCACGGGCCGTGCCGGACTGGATACACGCACCACTGGTTTGGTGTGGGGAGCAGGTACGGGGCGTACCGGGCTAGTGAAACGCACCACTGGTTTGGTGCGGGGAGCAGGTACGGGCCGTACCAGGCTGGGGAGGCGCACTGGTGACACAGTGTGTAGAACCGGAGCAGGATATACTGGCCTGTGGAGGCGTACTGGAGGTCTGGAGTGTACAGCTGGCACAACTCGTCCTGGCTGGATGCCCACTTTTGCACGGCACGTGGGGGCGCTGGCACAGGACGCACTGGGCTGTGAACGCGTATTGGCGACACAGTGCGTAGGACTGGCGCAGGATATACTGGACCGAGGAGGCGCACTGGAGACCAGGATCGTTGAGCCGGCACAACCCGTCCTGGCTGGATGCCCACTTTCGCACAACACGTGCAGGGCGCTGGCACAGGACGCACTTGGCTGTGAATGCGCACTGGTGACACAGTGCGTATCTCCGCATACCTTGGTTCCTCAATGAACACATGCTCCTTTAGTTGCCTGACCAGCTCCTCTCTCCGTGCATCCACTACTTCCTTCTCCCTACGGGCCTCCTGCAGCGCCTCCTCTTGAAGGGAGCTCTCCTGCCCTAACCTTGCCATCATCCCCCGTAATGTGGTGGCCTCCTCTCTTAAACTGCTGATCCGCAGGTCTTGGAGGACCTCTAAAATAGCGGCCTCCTCCTCTACAGTCAGCTCTTTCACGGCCTCCTGCTGCTTCGCCTCTCGGGTCTCCTTCGTCGATTAGCATTTTGGAGTTGCCGTCTTTTCTCCCTCGCTGCTTCTGTTTGCTCCCAAGGAAGGCGATCCATGCCTTCCTGGATCTCCTCCCATGTCCATGATCCTTTTCCTTCCAGTATCTCCTCCCATGTCCAGGTTTGCTTTTCCTGGCCACGCTGCTTGGTCCATTGGTGGTGGGATCTTCTGTCACGATCATTGAGTACAGGATTGGACCAAGGTGCAGCGTGGAATGCATACATGTTTATTTATAAAGTAAACACACGACAAAACAACAAAAGCAATGTAACGTGAAGCTCA